GCCTTAAATCTTGCTAGCTGGCCCCCTTGACCTGTAACCAGGCCCCTCTAAAATAAAATTCTGGCTATGCCACAGGCTTACCTTGACAACAGTGATAAAGCACCACTTCTCTAATTCTAAATGTGATTAAATTAACATTTGCTTTTGTTCAATCAATATACAGACGCAGCTGCCCGTTAAATTTGTAATACTGACCATAAAGTTCACTGTTTTAAGTTTTAATTGTTCCATCTGAAGATGCAGGAAGTCTTGGTGTGATTTTGGATGACCAGTTGTTGTTCCCGAGTCATGATGTGAAACTGACTCGGTCATGCAGGTTTCTCCTCTACAACATCTGGATTCAACCCCTTCTCTCTCAAGAGGCTACCCAGGTGCTAGTTCAGTCTCTTCTCATCTCAAGACTACTGCAACTCGCTCTTGGCTGATCTTCCTATGCAGGCCCTTGCAACTCATCCAGAAAGCAGCAGCACAGCTTGTCTTCAAGCTTCCTAAGTATACTCTCGTCACCCCACTGCTGTGTATCCTTTACTGGCTTCCTGTAGCTGCTCGCATCAGATTTAAAACCCTGATGCTTGCCTATAACTTATGGCAATGGTCAAAACTCGGTCGGTGCCTCGAGCCCTTCGAGCTTCAAGTACAGCTTGGCTCGACCTGCCATCCTTCAAGACTCTCTGTTCTGGCACCCAGGTAGTGGAACGAACTTCCAGTGGCTGCCTGAACAACTGACTCTCTCACAGCCTTCAAACACAGACTGAAGACACATCTCTTTGGACAGCACTTAAGCGAGCATTAATCTAAGTACTTATTAAAATATATTGTATTGCACTCATGCTTAACTCTGCACCTTTCTTTGCACTTTTTTTGGTAACACATACTGCAGGGCAGTGTTCATAGGGCTACAAGACTCCCACATAAGTTCTTCATGACAACTAACATAGACCGGCATTAATATTTATAAACACTTCTTCTAATAGGCATCATTTGTCATAAAGGTTGATATGCTTGCAGAGTGCACTGCAAAACTTCTGTTTTGGTCAGAATCTGTAGCCTGTTAAAAAAAACAATCATCTCCTTGTTTCTCGACCAAGCAAAACAACTGTAATGGTGCCAAGAAACCACGAAATGACAACACATCTGGCACAGCAATCCTGTTCAGTGAGGGTTACAGATTCAGATTTAAAACCCTGATGCTTGCCTATAACTTATGGCAATGGTCAAAACTCGGTTGGTGCCTCGAGCCCTTCGAGCTTCAAGTACAGTTTGGCTCGACCTGCCATCCTTCAAGACTCTCTGTTCTGGCACCCAGGTAGTGAAACGAACTTTCAATGGCTGTCTGAACAACTGACTCTCTCACAGACTGAAGACACGTCTCTTTGGACAGCACTTAAGCGAGCACTTATCTAAGTACTTATTAAAATGTATTGTATTGCACTCATGCTTGACTATGTATCTTTCTTTCTAGGTATGAGCACTGGTTTTTGTTGTCACAGGCAGTGTCCGAGCTCAAGGATTGTTTGGGCTATTTGTACTAGCTAGGATACATTCTCTGAGTGGACAACAAAGTACTTTTGTAAGTCGCTCTGGATAAGTGCGTCTGCAAAATGCAATAAATGTAAATGTAAAGTAAATACAACATAGAACTTTTTAGAGCTTTTGTCCCCACTAGCTTGAACATGCAGAGATAAAAAATGATATAGTCCAAACCCTGAGTGTTTCAGCCCACACTGTTTTTTAACAAGGCACAGCACACAACATACAATCAGTATAGGGCATTTACAGACAAACAGTCTGTTTCATTCATAAGGATTTAATAAACATCGGACCACGGTCATGTAAAAATAAAGGAAATATAATAAATAAAAGCAAGAAGGGCCTGGGTTCGATTCCCAGCTGGGCGACCAGGCCACGTGTGAAGTTTGCATATTCTCCCAGTGTACTCCAGTTTCCTCCCACAGTCCAAAAACATGCAGTCAGGCCAACAGGACATGCCCCTAGGTATGAACGTATATGTCTGTCTGTCTGCCCTGTGATGGACAGGCGACCTGTCCAGGGTGTGTCCTGCCTTCTGCCCAGTGAACGCTGGGATAGGCTCCAGGACCCCCCGGGACCCAGAAGGATAAGCGATTTAGAAAGTGTGTGTGTGTTTGGTTCATACGTCTACAGAAACAAGGATCTAGCGGGAAAATAGTTAAAATACAAGAAAAATGAACAATATACTCCCTTCAAAGGCATCTAAAAAAGCCGTCCAACAGCACTACAGCAGCTATAAATGATGAACACATGAACGTTAGGATATCCATTCCTGTTGATTTACCCCAATAAACAAAAGTAACGTGTCTAGGACTGACTGTTCTTTGAAAAGTCAATTTGCACATTTGCATATTAAAATGACATTATGCAATTTGGTATTTTGCCAAGAGTTAAAAGTATGCTAACAGCACTCAATTTAAATTAGAGCTCTGTATGGTGAGAAACGCTGAGAGTGAGTTTGTCTGGGTGTGGGTGTCTGTGTGCATGAGAGTGTGTGTGCTGGGGAAAGAAAGAAAAGAAATAATCAGTTGTAAAAAGCAGCAACTGTTTTTCAAATTCTAATGATTGCTAAAACACAATTACTTCTTGTTCTATTATTGAATCTCTCGGGTGCTGTTTGGGGGGGTGGGGGGGTGAATAATTCCAGAGTGACAGCGCTGCACCCACTACATCACCTGTTCGGCTTCAGCCGGGCCGCAACATTAACTCAATCAATGTCAATTATTCCATGCACTCCATTATTGCTGTGCGTGGTGCCAGCAGAATTTTAATCCAGACTCGGCGCTTCCTTCACGCAAATCCGCTCCTGCTCTGATTAAAACGCCACCGCTACATTCCAGACACCCACGTCGCATATATTACTTCGTATTTTTAAACTGCCTGGGGACAAAACCATGCTTTACAAGGTATGAAATATAAATGGTAGCTGAACTTTTTTCCCCTCTCTCTCCCAGCCATGGTTTCCGTAATCGAATTTGAGGTTGAATATGAAGGATATGTCTCGGAATTTAATGCTTGAGAGGTTCCACGAGGACAGAAAGACAAGTGGGTGGTGGCTTGGTCCTACACTTGTCGTTTAGTGGTGTTTGAGGAGACCTTGACTGATCAACAGGTGACTATACAGTCAGGTTTCTGTTTAAAGTACTTAAGTATTTAAGGCTGAAGCTTCTTCTGATGTTGGTGATCTAGTGTTATGAGAAGATTAGTTTCAAGTAAAATCTAACTCTAATATTTAGATTAGGGATGTGTATGGGTACTCGAGTACTCGGTCAACCATTCGACGTGCCAGTATTCAAATATTGAAATTACTATTGGGTATTCGGTACAGTTTCATCACAAGAAGACAGAGAAAATACACAAGCCAATTCAGTTCATTGAAACATAATGGCTTTCCTTATATTTCTGAGAAAGTATGTAATGTTATACTTTGCTACACTGAAACATGAGTGGCTGAATGTGAGTGCGTTGCCAAGGACATGTTGTTAAGTACGTGGCTGAGCAGGCAGAGATAGCACCACTAACTAGGTAACTATGTTAGCAGTTGCTAGCTACGTCCAGAAACAGTGAAAATATATTTGTCTGACAACTACCATGTTGGAACATTGTCCACCAAGGAGAAAAAATACCATATATAGAGGACGAGTCCTCATCAGCATCCAATGTGACAACTGTTAGCTCTGTTGGCTCATCAGCTCATTTGAATACGCAGCCTCCATTACTCATCCAGCGCAAAAGCTTAACAATTTTCATTTGGCTGTTTTTAATTATAAACACACCTGTGCAGACACCTGAAAAGGTAGGCCTACAGTACTACACTGTTCTTGGCCAAAGTCTTTTTTTGCTGTTGTTTTTCCCTTCCCTGTGGTTAAATGGATATCCGTTCATGAACTCTTATGCACGAATACAAAAAAAACAGTTGGAACATCCTTAATTCTTTGATTCCTAAGAACCTAAATGATTGTGCTTAATATATGTCCAGGAGCAAATCTGGCCTTCCTTGAGTACCATATACAATTAACTCCTTAAACTGCAGGCTTATTCATCTGGTATTAACTTTTAGACCTGTTCAGTAACCATTATTAATAATTCTAAGCGTGACATGAACCTTCACAGTTTGCAAAAGAACCCACTGCCAGCAGTTACAGACTTGTATTCCTCATGTACTTTACATAACAACTTCCATATTTCACAAGAAACACAGAAGAGGAAATATCTTACGAGAGCTCCTACCTTCTTCTTTCCATTCAACCAGATCATTCATGCAGATTTTGAAATAGCTAATGAATACTTTGCTTCAAGCCATGTGCTCATTACTACAGCTCAGAGATATGAAATATGTTTATGAACTTAATTTCAGCCAAGGTACACAAATCATACATCAAATAAAAGGGCAGATTCTCAGGGTTAAGAGATATATACATTATTCTGTAAAATGCTCAAATGTTGAAACACAAGTTTTGGCATTTAGCAGTAAAACGTAAGAATGTGGAATTATTATTACACTCATAAAACACATTTCCAACTTTTGCATTTCTACATGCAGATACTGAATAATAAGCCAGGTGATATTCAGGGGAAAAGCACCTGAAGCGCTGAGGTCAGGTAAACATTTTCAGGCGAGGTCAGGCTTTGGTACTTAATTTGCACATTAAAATAAACAACCATTTTGCAATAGCAGGTTATGTTTACTAATACAAGGTTAAGCCCTTAAACTAAAGGCTTATTAGTCAACTATTCATCTTCAGACTTAAGGAACTACAAACAACATCCGTAATTAAGTAACTACTACAGACATAAGTATTCTGAAAAGTACAAATACAAGCTATCTATGAATAGAAACTAAAGTGTGGGATTTAAAACGGGCTCCTGCACTGGCCATAGTGCCATTAGAATGCTAATACATTTTTGTAAGTCATACTTATAATACTAACAATGTTCATATTATCTCAGTTACACTGCTCATACATTACCTGGTTGATGGGGGGAGGAAGAGTGTGTCCAGCGAGGGCCAGTTTGACTGTAGTCTCCCAAATATGTGTGTCCTTGCTTCGTCTGGCCGTTACCATGAACTGGATGGGCTCTGACAGGTTAGCCACCTCTCGCTGTGCGTACAGAGAGCCGTCTGGTCGGACGGCAAACTTTGGGTCACTGCTCTCAAAGCTGATTCTCTCATTCAGATGGCAAGCCTCGAACTTCACTGCACAGGGGGAAGAGAAGAACAGAGCGGGAATGATGAATATTTAGACGTTATGCTTATATCACTGAGATATACAACGGCAGCTGGCCATCTGAGCGATATATAGCTGGAACATTTGGTCTACTCTGCTTCTGTAATACATTTAGAACACACAGTATGACAGCTTTGTCTGTTCAAATGAACAACTTGCCGATGAGTCAGCCCTACATACTATACAAAAAACATGCTAGACTAAACTTCCTGTTCACAACTTTCACTTAAAACAGAACTTCATGCATTTCATTTGGCAGTTCCTTGCAAGACACATCTGTTAACTAAGATCTTTATCCAGTCTGAAAACAATTACTGCATGTGTATTTGTCTAGAAGAGAGAAAGAGAGAGAGACAGAGCAAGAGACTGAGAGAGAAAAAAAGAGGAAAGAAAAAGAGAAGAAAGAGAGAACGAGAGAAAGAGAAAAAGAAGAGCGAGAAGGGAGAGACGGAGAGAAAGTGACAGAGAGAGAGAGGGAGATTGAGAAAGAAAGTGAGGGAAAGAAAGGAATGAGAGAAAGAAAAGAGTGAGAGAGAGAAAGAGATAGAGTAAAAGACAGAGACAGAGAGAAAAAGAGAAGAAAGAGAAAGAAAATAAAGAGGAGAGAGAAGAAAGAGATGAAGAGAAATCAACAAACAGAAGAGTGAGACAGAGACAGAAGAGTGGGAAAGAAAGAGAGAACGAGAGGAAAAAAGGAGAGAGAGGAAAGAGGGAAATAGAGCAGAGAGAAAAAAGTGAGAGAGATGGAGATAAAGGGAGAAAAAGAAAGCGAGAGGAGAGACATAGAGAGAAAGTGGGAGAGAGAAAGAGGGGAAAGAAAGAAGAAAGAGGGAGAAAGAGGAGAGAAAGAGAAAGGAAAATAGAGGAGAAAAAATGAAAGAGATGGAGATAAAGGGAGAAAAAGAGTGAGAGGAGAGAGTCAGAGGAGTAGAGAGAAAGTGGGAGGGAGAAAGAGAGAGAGAGGAGAAAGAGAGGCAGAGACAGGGGAAGCGAGAGAGAGTAGGAAAAAAATGAAAAACTTTGCTCTGAAAGCTGTCATGACAAGGGCATCACCCTATCCCCTAAACCACATCAAATGTTAAAAAAAAAGGAATCAGAAGGCGGAGCTGTCTTATATAAAAGATTCAGTGTGGGTCCAGTGCTGGCTAAGCAAACAGTGAAAGAGCAGAACAGGGCTGACACACACTCTGCCCTGTTCCGATTCACTGCTTTGCTGCCTCTGAGTGGAAAAAACAGAATCTCCTGCACTTTTATCACGCACCGTATCACCGACTGCATTTTCATGCGTGAGCCGGGCCCACGTCTGGCAGCGCAGGAGCGCCATGTTCTTGAGGAAGTCTCATTTAGGTCATGTTGTGCCTGACAGTCTGCGTGCATGGATATGAGTCATGGGTGTTTGGCTGCACTGCATGGCTGCCGAGCCCTGAGATTATTCTCGTTAACAAGAGCAGATGGTCCTCTCACAAACACCTGAGGGGAAACTACTACAGGTCTACTTAGCACACCCAGAGAGAGTGAAAGAGAGAGACAGAAAGAGGCAACACAAGCATATTAATCCAAACCCTAAACCTAGTTTGAGAATTTGCAGTCTTCTGGTTATTCTACCAAAGGCCCTTTTTGGGAACTACTATTAACACGGCCCAAACTTCTCAGTCTTTATACATCAAACGTGATTTATTTGTGTGATTTACTTAAATATCAATACATTTATTCATATATAACTGATGATATTTTGCACACTGAACATGTTTTTTTTAAGCGGAAATACAACATTTTATGCTCTCTACTTAATTTCTGCCAACTTCCACAGGCAACATGAACTCACTCAGCCAATTACTGTTGTCTCTGCTGCTGGCTCAGCAACAAACCAAGCTGACGGAGCAACCCATACTTTTTGACAAACGTCGAAAGGATTAGTTTGCTCTCTGCTTCGTCATGCGTGATGCCAGCCTCTCCAAAAGCAACTCAAACTGTTTTACAGATAGAGATGACAGAGACAGAGATCGGGCCGATATCAGCAGAAAATGCTAGATTGAATTTCAGAGGGAAAAAAGAATGAATTTGATCTAATCCTGCAACAAAGTCTGACACAGCCACACTCGCACTGTGTGATGTGATGTTGTTAGCTGTGTATTTCTTCCTGTGGGGTAGTAGAATGTTTGAATAGGTTGAGCATGACAGCCTACTTTCAGATGCTCATCTTAAGTGAAGTGCTTAAATTAGAAATATCTCTTTTTAAAGAGCACCAGTTCTTAAAAGATTGGTACTTTATCAGCCAATGGGTCCCTTTCACAAAGATTCGCGATTACTTCCGGTTTAAGCGTTAGCAGGGTAAAACTAACTTCTGCTCCATACAGCTACTGCAGAAGTGATGACAAAATGTTGTAGTAGTGAACTATAATGCTCAAATGCTGAGCTACAACAGGCTTGTTAGTTTTCGTGCACTATCATGACAAAAAGTGAGAAAAGGAAGTGGATGGAAGCACTGATTTAACTTTAAACAGAGCTAAAATGCTGTGTATGTGATGTAGCCCTGCTTACTGCTGCTGCAGCCGCTCACATCAAGCAGTCTCTCTGTACAACATGCCAGCGATTTCTGTAATAGTTCTGTTTTCAAAAGAAAGAAGATCTTTTATATGTAGCATGAATTTGGTAGACGTTGTATAGATGTAGCTTATTAGCTATGCGAGAAGCCATTGCTAATTGTAGCTGTATTCCCAAACAAGGAAGCTACTTTTCATTAGCTGCTGGCACCAGCTGGCTAACGTGGACCAAGTTCTGTAACACATTTACAGCATGCCAGTGACTTCTGTAACATAAACGCAATCCAGAACTTTTATATGTAATGTTAAAGTCCATTTGACAGACATCGCTTAAACTCTGTTTTAGCTTATGGTACGCTAGCAGGCCACAGGCGCTAATTAGCTAGCTTACCATTAGCAGTTTAAGGAACACCAGCTTCATATGAGAAGCAAACTTTAAAGCTAGCTGGCTAGCTTTGTTAGCGATCTGCCAAACAGCTTTATTCTTTTAGTTTCATGGCAATTTTTGAAGAAGTACTTCAGATAACATCCATCTTACACTGCGCAATCTAATACTAGCTAACTTGTATCGTAGCATCGGTGACATTTGAAAAACCAGAAAGCTGCTTTATGTTAGCCAGGCAATCTAGTTTGGTTAGCAATAGCTTCTAGTCAGCGTAGCTATCTTAATATAAACCCATCAAATTCATGCTGCATACAAAAGTTCTTATTTCTTTTGAAAACAGAAATATTACAGAAATCGCTGGCATGTTGTACAAAGACACAGACCGCTTTATGTGAAGCAGCTGCAGCAGCAGTAAGCAGGGCTACATCACATACACAGCATTTTAGCTCTGTTTAAAGTTAAATCAGTGCTTCCATTCACTTCTTATTCTCGCTGTTTGTCACGACAGTGCAGGAAAACTAAAATATGTCTGTTGCAGCTCAGTGTTTGAGCATTACAGTACACTACTATTCTCATCGCTTCTGCAGTAGTTATACGGAGAGGAAGTGAGCTTTACCCCGCTAACGCTTAAACCGGACGTTATCACAAATCTTGTGAAAAGGGCCCATACTCAAACCTTCAACACTGGTAGTGGAAAAAAAAGTGGTATCATGCATTCTGTAAAAGCTTCAGTCTCCCGAAAGACGTGGTGAAACCTGTGCTCCCAATATCAATGTTTACACTTTTTTCTTGTTTTGCTCACATTTCTTTTCACAATTACGATTTTAATGCAATTAATAAATGTGTGTTTAATAATCTACCAAATTCAGTGTTAAATGAAGAATCCAGCAAAGTCTGAATAGACCAGGTGTGTCAAACTGAACCACTAAAGGGGCCATATCAAAAAATCTCAAAAATATATGGGCCAGAGAATAAAAAGAGTTTTTATTTCATTTTTAATTAATGTTGTTCCACAACCCAAACTGGCTACTGTTTATTCAAAAAAAAAAAAATAATAATAAAAATATAGGCACTTGTAACAGACCTTGAAATATTACATGAATATATTTTGAAATATGCAAAATTTGAATGTCCCTACTAGCTAGGTCATTTAAACCTACCTATATGCTTGAATTAGACACCTGACATCCTTTCACTGCTGCCAGTGCATTAATAGGCTCAGTTTCTGAGCTGCTGAGCTAATGTTAAGTGTTCTTATTGGTTGAACTGCAGCTGAAATGCAGCTAGTGTTTTGGTGATATGACTGGTGTGGAATTGCATAGAATTGAGGTGTAACCCCTGCCCCACAGATTGTTGTTGGGGTAGGAGAGTCAGAGTGCACCTTACGTTGCAATGCTTGCTGGGGACTGTAGTGCAGCGCATTGTGAAATGAGCTAATATTAATAGAAAATTAAAATACTTCTGTGGGCTGGATGGGGTTGTGGGCCTTGTGTTTGACACATGGGGAACAGACAAAAAACATACAGAAATATAACATAACATGGCTTAAAAATCACTTATCAGACCTGTCTGAGAACTGTGTGGGTGTAGTCCTAATATTCTAATGAGCACCTGTGATTGAGGCTCTCAGTCCAACAATTCCAGCCTGCAACACCACTGAAGAAGAACTAAACACAGACAGACGACAGGTAGACAGATTAGCTAGCTTGATAGCTCAGTAATGTTTTGCTAGGTTAGCTTTTGCTTGGTCATTCGTTTTCTCTCAGTAAGTTTCACTGGCTCAAACACGGAGAGATCGCAGAGGGACGTAGTTCTGTTAAAGCTGAGTGGGTGGGACAAGCAACATTAGCCTTGTGGTTGGTGAGGATCCTGTTTATATATGCATAACCCAAGATTAGGACTGCCCTATTTACATTGAATGTGGAGAATTTTGGCACTGGAAAGCTACTCACTGACCATGTGTATATACATCATTTGTATATCGCTGCTGTCACAAGAAAACCTTGTATCTCCATTTTTGTCGTATTTCAGTTTTTGACAT